CCAATTTTCACCATTTTTCACCATTTTTAACCTTTTTTTTCACCGATTTTCACCATTTTTAACCATTTTTACACCGTTTTTGACCATTTCCAACCATTTTTTCACCAATTTTCACCATTTTTGGACCCTTTTTTTCCGTTTTCCACCATTTTTTTACCATTTTTCACCATTTTTTACCGTTTTCCACCGCTTTTCCCTCGTTTTTTTTCCATTTTTATCCTTTTCCCACCATTCTGGGTTTCATTTTGAACCATTTTGGGCTTTTTTTCACCTTTTTTTCCACCATTTCCAAGCACCGCGACACCAAAATTTCCACCGACTCCGAACCTTCCCAAACTTCCAAATCCAACGGATTTTCCCCCAAAATTCATTTTTATATTTCAACCTTTTTTACCTTTTTTAAACCTTTTTCACCTCAAAACTCACCGCCGTTATTCCAGCTTTTTTTCCCTTTTTTTTTCCATTTTTTCCCCATTTTTTCCCATTTTTTCCATTTTTCCCATTTTTTTCCATTTTTCCCATTTTTCCCCATTTTTTCCCATTTTTTCCCTCATTTTTTTCCCATTTTTTCCCATTTTTTTCCCCATTTTTTCACATTTTTTTCCTATTTTTCCATTTTTTCCCCATTTTTTTCCATTTTTTCCCATTTTTTCCCATTTTTTCCCCATTTTTTCCCATTTTCCCCATTTTTTCCATTTTTCCCATTTTTTTTCCTGCTTTTTTCATTTTTTCACCCATTTCTCCACCATTTTTTACCATTTCTTCACTGATTTTTTACCCTTTTTTCACCTTTTTTTACCTCTTTTTCACCAATTTTTCCCCATTTTTTCCCTCATTCTTCCACCCATTTTTTCCCTTTTTTCCACTGGTTTTTCCCTATTTTTTCACCAATTTTTTCCCATTTTTTTCCTCATTTTCCCACGGATTTTTCCCCGTTTTTTTCCCCATTTTTCCACCGATTTTTCCTGGTTTTTTCCACAGATTTTCCCCATTTTTTGACTTTTTTCCCACTTTTCCATCTTTCTTCCCCATTTTTTCCACCGTTTTTCCAACCATTTTTCACCTTTTTTTCACTCATTTTTCCTCATTTTTCCACTCATTTTTAACCATTTTTTTCATGGATTTTTTCCCGTTTTTTTCCATTTTTTCCCGTTTTTTCCACCATCATTTTCCGGTTTTTTCCTCCTTTTTCCCCATTTTTTTCTCATTTTTTTCCCATTTTTTCCTGGTTTTCCCCCGTTTTTCCCCCATTTTTTCCTCATTTTTTTTCCCATTTTTTTCACGGAATTTTTCCGGTTTTTTCCCCGTTTTTTCCCATTTTTTCCCGTTTTTTCCCCGTTCTTTTCACCATCGTTTTCCGGTTTTTTCCTCCTTTTTCCCCATTTTTTCCTCATTTTTTTCCCATTTTTCCCCGGATTTTTTTCCCTTTTTTTCCTGTTTTTTCCCGTTTTTTCCCCATTTTTTCCTCATTTTTTTCCCATTTTTTCATGGATTTTTCCCCATTTTTTTCCCCGTTTTTTTCCATTTTTTCACGGATTCTTTTCCCCATTTTTTCCCATTTTTTCATGGATTTCTCCTTTTTCCCCATTTTTTCCTCATTTTTTTCCCATTTTTTCCCAGATTTTTTTCCCGTTTTTCCCCGTTTTTTCCCCGTTTTTCCCCGTTTTTTCCCCATTTTTCCCCATTTTTCCCGTTTTTTCCCCGTTTTTCCCCGTTTTCCCGCACTCACCCCATGTTCCCGCGGTTGCCGCGGCCGCGCCCGCGCTCGAAGCCGCCCCGGGAGCCGAAGGCGCCGCGGCCGCGCCCGCGCTCCGAGGATCCGAAATTCCCGCCCGGCTCCTGGAACCCCCCGGAGCTCAGCGAGGAATCCTGGGAGTAACTGCCGGCTGCAAACGGGAAAATCCGGGAATTCCCACCCAAAATCCCGGAATTCTGACCCAAAATCCGGGAATTCCCACCCAAATCCCGGAATTCCCACCCAAATCCCGGAATTCCCACCCAAAATCCCGGAATTCTCACCCAAAATCCCGGAATTCCCACCCAAATCCCGGAATTCCCACCCAAAATCCCGGAATTCTGACCCAAAATCCGGGAATTCCCACCCAAATCCCGGAATTCCCACCCAAATCCCGGAATTCCCACCCAAAATCCCGGAATTCTCACCCAAAATCCCGGAATTCCCACCCAAATCCCGGAATTCCCACCCAAATCTGGGAATCCTGACCCAAATCCTGGGAATTCTGACCCAAATCCCAGAATTCTGACCCAAAATCCCGGAATTCCCACCCAAATCTGGGAATCCTGACCCAAATCCTGGGAATTCTGACCCAAATCTGGGAATTCTGACCCAAATCTGGGAATTCTGACCCAAAATCCCAGAATTCTGACCCAAATCTGGGAATTCTGACCCAAATCCTGGGAATTCTGACCCAAATTCTGACCCAAATCCTGGGAATTCTGACCCAAATCTGGGAATTCTGACCCAAATCCTGGGAATTCTGACCCAAATCCTGGGAATTCTGACCCAAAATCCTGGGATTCTGACCCAAAATCCCGGAATTCTGACCCAAATCTGGGAATTCTGACCCAAATCCTGGGAATTCTGACCCAAATCCGGGAATTCTGACCCAAATCCTGGGAATTCTGACCCAAAATCCCGGAATTCTGACCGAAATCCGGGAATTCTGACCCAAATCCCGGAATTCTGACCCAAAATCCGCTGATTTTTTCCCCAAAACCCCAGGATTTCTCGGGAATTTGTACCATTGTAGCTCTGAGACGACTGTAGGACGACTGTTCCTACACCCCAAACCCCCCAAATTACACCCAAAACCCCCAATTTCCGCCCGGATTTTGCCCAAAATCCGCGGATTTCACCCCAAAATCCCGGGATTTTTCAGGAATTGACTCACAGCCGCCGGAGCTGTACTGGCCCTGCTGGCTGTAGCTCGGGGGAGGGTTGTAGGACGACTGTTCCTACCCCAAACCCCCCAAATTACACCCAAAACCCCCAATTTCAGCCCCGATTTTGCCCAAAATCCGCAGATTTCACCCCAAAATCCCGGGATTTTTCAGGAATGGCACTCACAGCCGCCGGAGCTGTACTGGCCCTGCTGGCTGTAGCTCGGGGGAGGGTTGTAGGACGACTGTTCCTACCCCAAACCCCCCAAATTACACCCAAAACCCCCAATTTCAGCCCCGATTTTGCCCAAAATCCGCAGATTTCACCCCAAAATCCCGGGATTTTTCAGGAATGGCACTCACAGCCGCCGGAGCTGTACTGGCCCTGCTGGCTGTAGCTCGGGGGAGGGTTGTAGGACGACTGTTGCCCGTAGCTCTGCTGGCTGTAGCCCCCGCTCTGTTGGTTGTAGCCCCCGCTCGGGGCTTGGCCGTAGCTGGAGCTGCCGGAGCCGCTGCCGTAACTGCGGGAAAACGGCCAAAAAATGGGATTTCGACCCAAAAATCGGGGAGTTCGGCACAAAAAATGGGGAGTTCGGAACAAAAAATGGGGATTTTGACCCAAAAAACCAGGATTTCGACACAAAAATCGGGGAGTTCGGACCAAAAAATGGGGATTTTGACCCAAAAAAATGGGATTTCGACCCAAAAATCGGGGAGTTCGGAACAAAAAATGGGGATTTTGACCCAAAAATCGGGGATTTTGACCTAAAATCGGGGATTTTTGCATGAAAAAACTGGATTTCGGCACAAAAATCGGGGATTTTGACCCAAAAATCTGGGATTTGGACCCAAAAAAACGGAATTTCAACCCAATAATTGGGAATTTCAACCCAAAAAAATGGGATTTTGATGCAAAAAATTGGGATTTCGACCCAAAAATCGGCAATTTCGACCCAAAAAAATTGGGATTTTGACCCAAAAATCGGGGATTTAGGCTCAAAAATCGGGGGGTTTGGAACAAAAAATGGGGATTTTGACCCAAAAAACCAGGATTTCGACACAAAAATCAGGGATTTTTGCACGAAAAAACTGGATTTTGACCCAAAAATCGGGAATTTTAACCCAAAAACACGGGATTTCGACCCAAAAATTGGCAATTTCAACCCAAAAAAATGGGATTTTGACCCGAAAATCGGCAATTTCGACCCAAAAAAACGGAATTTCAACCCAAAAGTTGGGAATTTCAACCCAAAAATCGGGAATTTCGGCCCGGGTACGAGGAGCTTTGGGCTCTGGGTTACCGATAGCGATCAATAACCAATTAATAACTAATTAATGACTAATTAATGACCTGGCAGTGGCGGACGGAGCCGCGGGGGGTTGGGAATAGCCGGGGTGGGAGGAGCTCTGGGGTTACTGGGAGTGACTGGGTTGGGGTCTGGGTTATCGATAACGATCAATAACCAATCAATAACCGATCAATGATTAATTAATGACTAATTAATGACCTGGCAGTGGCGGACGGAGCCGCGGGGGGTTGGGAATAGCCGGGGTGGGAGGAGCTCTGGGGTTACTGGGATGAACTGGGTTGGGGTCTGGGTTATCGATAACGATCAATAACCGATCAATAATCAATTAATAACTAATTAATGACTAATTAATGACCTGGCAGAGGCGGAGGGAGCCGCGGGGGGCTGGGAATAGCCGGGGTAGGAGGAGCTCTGGGGTTACTGGGATGAACTGGGTTGGGATCTGGGTTATCGATAACGATCAATAACCGATCAATAATCAATTAATAACTAATTAATGACTAATTAATGACCTGGCAGAGGCGGAGGGAGCCGCGGGGGGCTGGGAATAGCCGGGGTAGGAGGAGCTCTGGGGTTACTGGGATGAACTGGGTTGGGATCTGGGTTATCGATAACGATCAATAACCGATCAATAATCAATTAATAACTAATTAATGACTAATTAATGACCTGGCAGAGGCGGAGGGAGCCGCGGGGGGCTGGGAATAGCCGGGGTAGGAGGAGCTCTGGCCGTAGCTGCCCTGGGAGCTCTGCCCGGAGCCGAAGCCGCCGGAGCCGTAGGAGGGAGGAGCCGCCGGCGCCGAATAACCTGGGGAGAAACGGGGGGAAAACGGGAAAAAACGGGAAAAATGTTAAAAAACGGGAAAAATGGGAATGATGGGAATGATGGGAATAACAAATAATGGGGAGAAACGGGGGGAAAAATGGGAAAAAACGGGAAAAACGTTAAAAAATGGGAAAAACGGGAAAAATGGGAATGATGGGAATAACAAACAATGGGGAGAAACGGGGGGAAAACGGGAAAAAACGGGAAAAATGTTAAAAAATGGGAAAAACGGGAAAAATGGGAATGATGGGAATGACCAGAACAATGGGGAGGAACGGGGGGAAAACGGGAAAAATGGGAAAAATGTTAAAAAACGGGAAAAATGGGAAAAATGGGAATGATAGGAAAAACGGGAAAAATGGGAATGACAAATAATGAGGAGAAACGGGGGGAAAAGGGGAAAAAACGGGAAAAATGGGAATGATGGGAATAACAAACAATGGGGAGAAACGGGGGGAAAACGGGAAAAATGGGAAAAATGTTAAAAAACGTTAAAAAATGGGAAAAACGGGAATGATGGGAATGACCAGAACAATGGGGAGAAACGGGGGGAAAACGGGAAAAATGGGAAAAATGTTAAAAAACGGGAAAAATGGGAAAAATGGGAATGATGGGAAAAACGGGAAAAATGGGAATGACAAATAATGAGGAGAAACGGGGGGAAAACGGGAAAAATGGGAAAAAAGTTAAAAAACGTTAAAAAATGGGAAAAACGGGAATGATGGGAATGACCAGAACAATGGGGAGGAACGGGGGGAAAACGGGAAAAATGGGAATGACAAATAATGAGGAGAAACGGGGGGAAAAGGGGAAAAATGGGAAAAAATGTTAAAAAATGGGGAAAACGGGAAAAATGGGAATGATGGGAATGACCAGAACAATGGGGAGAAACGGGGGAAAAATGGGAAAAAACGGGAAAAATGGGAAAAACGGGAAAAACGGTGAATTTTGGGTACAAACACTCAGATTTTGGGTACAAACACTCAGATTTTGGGTACAAACACTCAGATTTTGGGTACAAACACTCAGATTTTGGGTACAAACACTCAGATTTTGGGTACAAACACTCAGATTTTGGGTACAAACACTCAGATTTTGGGTACAAACACTCAGATTTTGGGTACAAACACTCAGATTTTGGGTACAAACACTCAGATTTTGGGTACAAACACTCAGATTTTGGGTACAAACACTCAGATTTTGGGTACAAACACTCAGATTTTGGGTACAAACACTCAGATTTTGGGTACAAACACTCAGATTTTGGGTACAAACACTCAGATTTTGGGTACAAACACTCAGATTTTGGGTACACTCAGATTTTGGGTACAAACACACAGATTTTGGGTACAAACACTCGGATTTTGGGTACACTCAGATTTTGGGTACAAACACACAGATTTTGGGTACAAAGGGACACAAAGACGGGGATTTTGGGGAATTTCGGGAATTTTTGCCATTCCCAGGATCTCTCACCGCTCTGGGGGTCGCTTTGGGGCAGTTTCCGGGTTAAAACACCGGAATTTTGGGTTAAAACACCGGGATTTTGGGTTAAAACACTCAGATTTTGGGTACAAACACCGGGATTTTGGGTACAAAGGGACAGGAAGACGGGGATTTTGGGGGATTTTTGGGAATTTGGGGGATTTCTGGGAATTCTCACCGCTCTGGCTCTGGCCGTAGGAGCCGCTGTAGCCGCCCTGGCCGTAGCCCGTGTCCGAGCCCTGGCCGTAGCCGCCGTAGCCCTGCTGGGAGTAGCCCTGCCCCCCACCCTGCGAGTAGCTCTGGCTGGGGGGGGCGGGGTAGGCGCCGTAGCTGGGGGGAAAATCACAAAATCCCGTTAAAGTCACCCAAAATCTCGTTAAAGTCACCCAAAATCCCAATAAAATCCCCAAAATCGCGTTAAAGCCACCCAAAATCCCGTTAAAGTCGCCCAAAATCCCTTTAAAATCCTCAAAATCCCGTTAAAGTTGCTCAAAATCCCTTTAAAAATCCCAAAATCCCGTTAAAGTCGCCCAAAATCCCTTTAAAATCCCTAAATCCGGTTAAAGTCACCCAAAATCCCTTTAAAATCCCCAAAATCCCGTTAAAGTCGCCCAAAATCCCGTTAAAGTCACCCAAAATCCCGTTAAAGTCGCCCAAAATCCCTTTAAAATCCTCAAAATCCCGTTAAAGTCACCCAAAATCCCGTTAAAAATCCCAAAATCTCGTTAAAGTCACCCAAAATCCCAATAAAAATCCCCAAAATCCCATTAAAGTCACCCAAAATCCCATTAAAAATCCCAAAATCCCGTTAAAGTCACCCAAAATCCCTTTAAAATCCCCAAAATCTGCATAAAAATCCCCAAATCCCGTTAAAGTCACCCAAAATCCCATTAAAACCCCCAAATCCTGTTAAAATCCCCAAATCCTGTTAAAATCCCCAAATCCCTTTAAAATCACCCAAAATCCCTTTAAAATCCCCAAATCATGCATAAAAATCCCCAAATCCCGTTAAAGTCACCCAAAATCCCATTAAAACCACCCAAAATCCTGTTAAAATCCCCAAAATCCCAATAAAAATCCCAAAATCCCGTTAAAATTGCC